CGATCTCCCCAAAACCCCAAAACCCCATCTAGCATAATTATGCTAATTATAAGATTATAAAGAATTTAAATCTAATTCTAATAACTAAAGAAATAATGTCAGGGTAACTAGCATATAAAATAATTGATAGATTTTTGACTCTATGATAGAGAATTTTAGTTAGATGATCAATTCAAGGATCTTTAGTAAACATTACCTGATAACTCTACGAGCAATTTAAAAACTTCAATGGGGAAACTTAAGATTTAAACTGTCAATGATGCAATTAAGATTAACTAGATTAATAGAAATTAAAATTTAGCTCTTGTGTAAGAAATATTAAAATAAATTCATGATAACATATTAATAGGCAATATTAGCATTATGATGATGAAAATGCTACACCATTTAGGGCTAATCTAAAAAATATCTCTTATTCTGTGAGAACCACTTGCACATATTGCAGGAAGGTAACAGAAACAATAGTAAAATATGAAACAACAAACAAGCAGTGGTATTTTTGTATGTGCTTCTTCCTAAGTGGCCTTATATTTCTAGCCCCATTAAGCTTTTATCCCAAATCATTCTATAATGCAGTCCACTATTGCAGTTAGTGTGGCTAATTCCTAGGTTCAAGCAAGGATTGATTGATTGAAACTCTCTAATCTCTTATGTTCAAAACTTATTAACTTATTTTAAATATTTAGATGTTAAATTTTAATTTTAATTGTAATTATCATTAATGGAAGATTCTACTCTAAATGATAGCAGTTCAAATCCTCAGAGGTTCTTTCGAAAGTAGAAGCAGTTTAGAACTTCTTCTATATATTTTACAAATGGGTAGAAAAGTTATCGATCAGCCTAGAGTATATCAAATAGAATTAAAAATTAGTCAAATTATTTGGGGTCAACAGTGGCTTTAACTAACTCACTGAAAAAAGCAGAGAACTCTAAAGGACATTTAATGTTTTAAAAACGAAAACATCAATCATAAAAGAAGAGTAGAAATGATTAGTCTTTCGATATTGTAATAGAGAATGAGAATCTTAGTAATGAGAGAGAAAGAAAAGGAACTGGGAGAGAAAGAGAGCAAGAAAAAAAGATTAGGCATATAGCCACTTCATCACTCCTTAATTATAACAGAAGTATCGTTTAATCCCAGTAAACAAGCACTACGAAAGCTAGCAATAAAGATCGAAGAAAATTAGTGAGAACAATAGTAAACGAACAGCACTAACCTATTATTGGTCGTAGACAAAATGGGTAGCTCAGTAATTAATCTTCTATTTTCAATAGAACTCAAAATATAAATACTGATTCAATGCAATAATAGAGCAAATTCACTGATATGGTCCATCAACTAGCGAGTTAATCTTTAAATACACAAGCAATGCTCAATCAGTTAAAATCTTAAAAAATACTTTAAAATGAAGTGATTTCAGATTTGCATGATGAAGTGCTTATCAAAGAAGATAATCTCTCTAAGTCAAAAATAAATGCTGCTAATCTTATATCAGAGGATAAAAAGTAGCTCTATGAAAAGTATATTCAGAAATTCCAATAGTATCAAATGGAAATTGAAAACATCAAGTTTGAAGGTGATCTAAAGGTTCAATAGTTAGAAAACAAACTCAGAGAAAAGCAAGGCATCAACTCTGTCAATAAAAGTGTCCTGGACTAAAAAATATTCTAAAGAGAGTAACTTGAAAAACAATTAGCACTTATCAAATAGTAGAGTGTTGACTTTAATGAGAAGCACGTCTTGATGAAGAAGTAAAATACAGATTATCTGGATAAGATGATAAGATAAGGTTGTAATGTGGAGTAAAACTCAGAATATATAGCTCAAGAGTAGATCATCAAATTTCATAAAGCTGATAACGCAAAGATAGAGAAGTAGATTAATCAGATCAAGGTGTCAATGAAGAAAACTTCTGATTAAAATGTTAAGAGTAAGGAGTATAGATCGAGGCTAGTTTAACTTATGGACTAAGTACTTAACCTCAGGATACAAAAGAGGAATGATAGTCAGGTTGATAAAGAAGTATAGTTTAGAGATGTCGCTAAGAAAATGATGGCAGATGCTAAATAGCTGTTTGCATTGAACGAAGCTAAAGTCAGAATGAAATTCAAAAATAAAGAGGCTTGAATTAGATTAGCTTTGAGCAAAAAGAGTAAATTCTATAAGTATGTGATTGTTTGAATTATAGATAATTTTAATTGCGCAAGTCATTGATATATAATCATCTTTTATGAATTTAAAATATAACTAAAGCATGCATATTTCACAGTTTAATTGCGGAGTTGGATGACCTAAAATTCTATTTTTCAGCAGCATTTCCCTTTCTTTTTCTTTCCTCCATCAGGTGTCTTTGGATCACCAGTATTATTCCCATTAGGGGCATTGAGGGTGAAGCCAGTATTTTTTATTTCACTTTGATTAATTGGATTAGTTTCTATGCCTGTCAGTTTCTTCGCAAGTTGATTAAAGCACATAGTGATATTTGTTCCTGTCCTTGCACTTACTTCGAAATACATGATATTTCTTTTGCTAGCATATTCATGGGCTTCTTAAGTCGTTACTTGCCTCTAGTCATTTAAATCAGCCTTGTTACCAGCTAAAATCAATAGGACATCATCGTCTCTCAAATTCTTGGCGTCTTCAATCCATTTATCCACTGACTAAAAAGACTAGCGAGAGGTTATATCAAACACAACGATTGCAACGGCGGAGTCCTTGATATATGAAGGTATGAGTGACTTGAATCTCTCTTGTCCTGCTGTGTCCCAAAGATTGAGAATAATGATCTTATCTTCGACGTACATCTTATGAGACATGAAATCTATACCGATAGTTGCCTAATAGTTTTCATCGAATGAATCGTATATGAATCTATGGATGATTGAGGTCTTTCCAACTGATTGATCTCCAAGGAAAACAACCTTGTATTTGAACTTTCCAACTGTAGAATTTTCTGATGTCATATTACTCGCCATTTAATTATTGTATTTTTTCAATTTCAAATACTTAAATTTTCTAATTAGCTTGTTTGCTTGCCTAGCTGCTTCTGGGGTTTTGGGGTTTTGGGGTTTTGGGGTTTTGGGGTTTTGGGG